CACGGAGGCCGTTTTATCAGCACCTCCTTCTAGCTGGACACAATCAGAGCGGTGAACCCAGGCCTAGCAGCTTATTTTCGCAGGATGCCAGGAGCGATACGGCACACGACGCGCCCGTAACTTAAAATTAACGGACGTAAGATTAATCATTACCGTAGTTATGGGCTGGCTCCAAGTGAAAGTTTCAGTGTCCAGGACATGCACGTGGTCGTTCCACCCTCTAGGAAGACCTGAATTCTTTAAAAATATTAAATAAGCAACAAATTTGAACAAGTACTAATCAAATATTCGAGTTTAAATAGAAGTGACTTCGAGGTTTACTTACCCAAAAAGAGGTTTCATCAAATTCAAAAGTTCCCCGTTGTTTCCCTTCAGGAAAGTAACCATAGCCTCCAAAAAATATTAGCCTGAAACGAAACGTGCATCAGGATCGATTAGAAATGCTGTCACCTCGGCTGCTACAAACTAAAATTCTGCACAGGCTGCGCTCAAACAGAAGGCTGGAAAACCAGGGAAGCTCCTTTGGCTTCCAACACGTTTGCAATGCAAGTTTTCCAGGTGTGGGGCCCTGCTCCTCGCCTACTCGTCCCTGCCACCCCCAGGAAACCCCTCGGCAGCCCCTGCCCAGGCCTCTCGGCGTTCCCAGCTTCGCTCCGGTTGCGGGAAGCTACCGCCAGGCCTGCTGCCTGCTCGCTGGCCCCACCGGGGCTCCCACGCAGCAGCTACCGGGGTCTATCCCTGCGGATTCCCGACTTCCCCCCCTTGCCGAGCCCTCTGCCCCTTCTCCCGAAGCCCAAAAACGTTCGCAGCTGCTCCTGTGAGAAGAAAGGGAAAGCGCCACGGCTCGGGCACGGTCCCTGCGGAGGTGTGTGCTGGGCAGGGCAGGGCGGGAGGAGGCCAAGGGGCGTTACGAGCAGCGGACCCTCTACCGACGCAGCTGCCTGGGAAGTTTTTAGTTTTGGGGGAGACATTTTCCTTTGTACTTGTTGCATTTTGTTTCAAAGCCTGAAGAACAGTTGTTATGAGCAGTCACTCCTCTGTTTTTACTGTTCTTTTGGGGTTTTTTTTTAATGTAATTTACCTTTACGTTTGGGTTTTAGCACCTACTAGAAACTAAGGGCACAGTTTTGCCAGAAATCCCTACCGAGTTATGAAGTAACAGAAAACAATCTACACCACCTCACTAAACACCCACAACTCCGGCCTTGAGCAGATTTACATCTAAACTGATCACATCAGGGATCGCAACAACAAACTTTCTCTCCACAATCTGCCAGCTCGCACCACGGGCAACTTCCCGTCGCTCCCGAGCCTCTGCAGCGAAATCGCACGGCCAGCACCGCCACGGCCGGCTTTCTCCCCACGGAACGGGCAAAGCAGCAGCAGCATCTGTAGGGTTAGCCACCAAAATCACCTCATGCTGCTCAGACACGAGGACGTGTGGCACCTCTGATTGTCTCTGCCTCAGGAGAGCCAGAGGAGATACAGCCACAACCAGCTGGGGAAACAGGCAGAAGACGCCTGTGCTGTCCAGGGAAGGTTTTGTAGGTAACAGCTTAAACCCTGATGTGACAACAGTAAGAACCTGTAACCAGTTGTGACCAGAGAAGAACTGGAGGCCCCTGACCGTCACCTCATACTCGCACCAGGCCCCCTCAGCCCCTGGCGTCGCCTGCCCCAGCAGCGCTGCCCTGGGAGAGCGCCCTGCTCTGTGGGGAGCAGCTCCTCCTGCCAGGGGACACTCCTGGCCACGTGAGCTGTCACCTGTGCCAGAGCATTTTGGAGTTGTGTTCTCTGGAAGGCAGGAACCCTCTGAGAAACCAACCCCGGGCAGGTGCTCCAAGAAGAGAGCCAAAAGTCCCTGCCCTCCCCTGAGAGAATTCACTTCCACCCCCAACCTCCTGAGCAGCTGGAACACAGTGGGAGCAGGGAATTACCTACAACAGGGTCTTGCCTCAGCCTGTCCTCCAGTGCCAGAAGGTGGGAACGATCTCATCACACAGCTCCCTGCTTAGGGGACTGGCCCTACACTAACCCGGCGGGGGAGGAGGGTGCAAGGCAACAGCAATGTTTTGCACTTCAGCTCATCTGGCTTCACCACCTTCTCCTCATCTTCCTTATCTTTTCCAAGGTTTGCAATGCCAAAAGAACCTCCTGGCATCTCTGGGATGCGATCCCAAGACATGCAATCAGATACCAGCAGCAGCAGTTCACCCAATACGTCCCTTGTTGTGGGCAACCAGCACAAAACACACCGAACTGAGCAGGCGCATTGCTGAAAAAGCCACATGGAATCACAGAATCATTGTGGTTGGAAAAGACCTTTAAGACCATCAGGTCCAACCGTTACCCTAACACTACCAAGCCCACCACT